AAAACAAAAGTGCCAGGATATCTGACCTTTAATGCAAATTAGGTTATGGAAACCATGGAAACTAAAACCACTGAAATATTATGTCAATAATAATTATATAATATGGTGAAATCTTTTGTATAGAAATAACAACTTTGGTTTTTGCTTTCCTGAAAAAAATGTCAAAAATAGCCCTTACAGAGTTAAACAAGCACCATGACAAGGTAAATAAAATTTGTAAATAAAATAACCTATTTGTTTTTTTGTAATTTAAGTGAAGGTCTGACAAATTTGTTTAAACATGGCTAGTAATAATTATTTTGTGTTGTACATCACTAACAGTTTCCGGGAATTTATGTTACCGGTAGTAGCAACAACTTCAAATATTGGCACAGGTTTGTATCAATTAGGTCAATGCAAAGAACAACCTGATCACAATGTAGTCATGGCTACTCAAGCATATAATTATTTAGTAGTAGATATTTGTCTACACTTTGTGTGACTCATTTGATTAAAGAATGCAATGACCTGTATTGTGTATACAGAATAAACATTTAAAATACCGCGTTTGTTCTATTAATACAACATGTGATTTTGGTTTTATTTGTTGTGTGCAGCAGATTGCCGTTTTATAGTTAAGGAAATATGGTACACTTCCATCTGTTATTTATAAATAACAGTGAAAAGATTATAATGAATTTTTTTTATATGATTATATCATGGAATAAATAAAGACCATTTCCTGCGCCCAGGTAGAATTCAGAAAGACCAATATTTGTATTTGGCAAAAACAGACATGGTAATTTGGCAAAATTCACAATGGAATTGATTGTCTCATTTCTTCTCAATTCGCAACTTTTTAGATCTTCTCAGAACTTCAAATATCTCTTTGAACAGCTTCTTGTACTCAGGCTGAAATTTCTCAGTCAACTTCTCATTGGCAGCGCTCTCTTTTTCTTTCATTTTGGCAAACTCAAAACTCAAAGATCTCCTTTTTTCCAGCATCGGTGTTGTCTGTACTGCGGTATTGCATACATTGTCACACTTTGTGTCCACACTCGCAGTAACATCACCATCTACAGTACTCTTACTGTGAACAAGCAGGTCATTGTATTTCTCTTTCAAATCATGATACTGTGCATCAAGTTCCCCAAAAAGTGACATTTCAGAACTCTCCTGTTTCACTGCTGTGCCAGATATTGGATGAGAAAGAAAAAAAGTGTCCCACTCAAAGGTATCACCATCCTCATCAAAACTGCTGTCAGCCGGTAGATCAGAGTCCTCATCCTGGCTTTTCTGCCGAATCAAACTAAACTTCTTCAAGCAACACGAGCATAAACTGGGACTTTTCTGGGCCCCCGGTGATGCAGCGGCTAACTCGTATTCCAAAGAATTTTCTTCTGATTTGATCTCAAGTTCCTTCATGTGCTCATATAGAGACTGATTTTCCTGCGTCAACACAGAGATTTCAATTTCAAATTCATCAGATCTTCGTTTTTCTGCATTTAGACGCGATCTCAGAAATTGCAGAGTGTGTTTGAGTCTATTGATCTCATCTTTGACAGCATCAGTCTCTTCTAGATTACTTGTACTGAAGTATCTCCTCAACTGTGATAGATTGACTTCTCGTGGAAGACTCTGCGTTTTACGACGTTCACGTGCTCGTTCTCGTTCATGTACTTTCATATCCTCTAATAATGTATTCTGTTCTTGTACCTTGTTTTCTAGACTTTCTATGATTTCCGTCAGCCTACAAGAAAAATCACATTACAAAATTTGATATTTTTTATCATCTGTGTTTGCTTTACTATACCCCCCCAAAAAAAAAAACGATGTTTTTGGTTCTGAGATGAAAATATTTTTTTCGGTGAAAAATTGCTGTGAAAACAGACTGTAAAATGACCAGAGATTTTTTTTTACCTGAAATAAATTTATTAACCCCAAAGAATTTAGGTTTGCTAGACAATTTTTCTAGAAACAAGTACCGTACTTGCTTTATTAGAAGCGCATCTTCAATAAAAGCACATATGGACAAACAAATTTCATTTATTGTATCATTAAAAAATTACTTCTTATGACCACAGGCACACCTCTATCTAATAGAGAAAAAATTTCATGAAAATTGGCAAAATTTGCATTTTTATCTGTTTTCAAATTGGTACATGTATTTATGGTGCTGTTGATATCTGAAAAATTCACATTGTTATTGACCTGAATTGTAATATTGTCAAAAATCAGATTTTTCTGTTATAATGCATTCCCAGAATGCATTGCATATATGCTCAGTTCGTGAAAAATTGAATTTGTCTCATATTCCCTCAACTTGCTCTGCATATGTAAAAATTAGCAGACAATGTACGCTATCAGTGTTGTGTCAAGTAAAAAAACACAATGATTGCAAGATGGTAATAGATTATCACCACCAGCTTCTGGTAAACCAGGTATGATAGAGGTCGCTATGATTTACCAGTATACCAGTCTGAAAATGTCATTTTTGTGAGCTTTTCAAATATTGCAATAAATCTTGTTTGTAACAGCTTCAGCGTTATTTTTGCAGCAAATGTTTACTGTCACATTGGCAGATGCTTTGTTTTTCAGTGGCCACCATATTGGGTATTCAAAATATAGAGTTGAAAATTATGTGAACTTATAATAGCCATTAAAAATTGAAAATTAAGCAACATTCAAAAATAGCCTGAATCCTACTCTCATTAATTAAGTTGGTGGTTAAAATAATGAATTTTGCAATGAAAATAAAATCAAGGATGGTCGTTTTACCAATGTTGACAGTTTTCTGAAACCAGGGCAGGGTGATCTACTGAACATTTTCTGAGTACATTCGTCCTACAAAAAATTAAATTGATTCGTTCCAATTCACATTCGTCCCAATACACTTTTGTCTCATTGACTTTGGTCAGCCTTACAATCTTTTGTACAATGATGCCAACTTCTACAATAACAAGTATGTAGGTTTGCAAGGAGTTGTCAATTTCTATTGCGGGTTTGGCCAACTGTGTTTACTAGTTACTGACAATGCTGCTATATACCTGATATATGACTACCTATAGGACCCATATATTTGTGGGACGAACCTGTGAGGTGAATCGAATTGAGATGAATCAACTGTACCAATCTACCAGCCAGCTTTTGTAATATTTATTTGACCTTTCATTTTTGAGATTTGGACAGTAGGATTTTATTTTTACCAATTTTTGTGATTAGAATATTCAGTAACATCAATGACATTTACCGTAAATGAGCCAGAACCGACCTGTACAGACCTACGGGACAATCAACTGGTTTGTTTTTATCAATCAACTGTTTTACCGAATTCAAATATATATGGTATGCAGGCCAATATTTTTCCAACATTCCTAAAATGCACATTGATGAAAAATCATTTTTTAACCCATTTTCTCATACGATAGAATATTATGTGTATATACCGGTAATATAAAAACACTGTCTTTTTATAGTGACCTGTCTTGTTGTTGTTTTGGTCTGATTTATTCAATTAACAATTGAAAATTAATTATTTTAATCTTTTTTCCCCAAATCTTGCTTTTCTTCACCTTAAAAAATAGCACCCTTATGATATGTAAATGATTTTGTATTTTTATTTTCTTTTATAATGACAACCCATATTTCATTCTCACTGATCATATTCAACCTGAATCTGATTTTAGTATGAAAAATAATCATATCCTATAAATGTCTATCAATATAACTGAAATCATACTTTTTACCCCATTTATTGTGTACAAGAACCATTTATTCTTGCAATAACCGATTTTTGTAATTTTGTTATGTTTTTTTTAACTGAATTTTCAATTCAAAAAGGAATTCATAATATGTTTTTTTACCAAATTGGCAATTCTTCACCCATAATAAGCCACTCTGGATAAACTCTCTTGGTACTCCAAGGTTGTAAATGTATTAAACTCTCAAATGATATCATGCAACATTCTATATTTATTTACCAATACTGCCTTGAATTCAACTTTAAAATATTCAAGTGTTTATGAATAATAATTTTTTTTTTTTACCAATACTGCATTGTTTTAATCCAAATATCATTCTTGAATGAGTAGTTAATAAATGAGTAGTAGGATAAATGTCCTCAAATATTTTATCAGCTTTCAAATGAGGTATGACATGAGATGATTGGGCTGTGTCTCAGTAATGCCCAGTCAAATACACAGCCGTCAAATTCTGCCATTTTCTGTAAGGAAGCTGGAGAACAACAAGAACAATCTATAGCGAACTGGTGGTGAAGGTAATTTGTTGGTATTGCAATCCATTAAATTAGCTGAAAATTTTATCCCAATATTTTGTACAAATCATGGTTTTAGAGAAACTGGGTATTTTTGGAAGATTTTCATAAGAATCCACGTAAAAACATAATTTCATGAGAAATAAATAGTATTCCAAGAAGTTCCTAATAATTTGTGACAATAAGAATTACTCATCTAATAATATCATATTTTTTCACTATATGTCACAATGTTTTCAGATACGATAAAACAAATGTCAAACGATTCAAACGTTGTTTTTTTTAGCCATTTTTTAGATAAAAAGGAGTTCCATAAGTATTCATCTGAATTTTGTAAACAACATAAAATAAAAACAAAGTGTAAAAAAATCATGGAAATCTGAATATCTGTCCATTATCACCGTTCTATCTTCTGTTTGCTTGTTCGCAATTCATGTGTTTGTTTGATGCTTGTTTTCTCCATTTCTTGTACATTATAATCCAGTTGTTCATATAACTTGGCTTTACTGTCGGCAGCTTCTCTCAAGAGAGCAACTTGCTTCTCTAGGTGCTGCAGATTAATGCAGAAAATGGACACATGTTTGTAATATACATATCATTACTGAATATTACTTAATCGATTTAATCCTTTCACAATTGAAAAAAAAAACACTCAGTGTTTACCATGGACAAAGTTCCAGAGTAAACTATATTGCTATAAGGCACAACAAATTTTGATGCCAAATTTGAAACTAATTTTCAAATGGCATTATTATATAATAGTTAATTACCTAGCACAATTATATACTAGTAAACAAATTATCAAATTGTGTTTACAACAAATAAACTCTGCCGAGGCCTTCTGTTGCATCTATAAGCAGTGTGTCATTGTAAAAACATCTGTTTCAGAGCATACCACATAAATCAACATATACTAATATATCAAATTCAACACATAGCATGTACTAACCATAATATGCAGTGAATGTTCCTCGTTTAAATGTTGGGCATGTATAAGTTGACTTTCTAATTCCCGATTTCTCTCTAATAATGTTTTGCCAAGCTCTGCTGCAAGCTGTAAATCTGTGAAAAGTACAATAAGTCACAGTAATTGTTAAGTATTTGGTGTTAGATAATGGACCATTTATTTCATTTGTTGAGTATTTTAATATTTCATTTTATACACGTACATGTATAACAACCATAGACTGTACTGAGAGAGGTCCACATGTAGTACCTATATGTATAATATCAAAGCAATCAGCCTTGTGGTTTTCAACAAGAAGTCAAAAATATCACTTTTTACCAAAAATGACAAAAATATTCATCAAAGTTAGAGAATTGAAGATACCATCTTGAAAGGAACAAATCTAAGTGAGGTCTACCTAGGTACTTTTAAACTAAGTATCAAAGCAATAAGGCTTGTTGTTTTCAAGAAGTCGAAAAAATCTAAAGTTGACCCAGACGACGGACAATCACTCGTACATGTATAATAAGTCAACAGGCTAAATTATTAATATTTTGACTATAGAAAATTGTTTATATTTCAAATATGGTATGGCAAATAAGGTAATGATAATGGCTCCATAATGAAACATTAAATTATTAATAATTTTGCATATAGACAAATTTTTATATTTCAAATATGCCAGGCTGGTAATGATAATATCTATTTAATGGTTCAAAATTTGTTTTCTTCGTCTTTTTATTTTACAAACTGTATAAAATTTGACATAATCAAAATGGTTCTAATAATTCATCATGTATTGCACAGCTTTTAAGTAGCAGTTGCCATGGTGACCACTACTCTTTTTGTCATTGAATTTGTGATACCTCTGTTTGTCCTTCCTGACATATCTGAAGACTACGGGTAATGCCATTACAAATCATCATTCTATTTATCACGACTTTCCCCTCAATGTGACAAAAATCTGACAAATGTATACATGTATTATGTATAAATATTCAAAATGAGTTTAGTCATTTAGTTATTTTATAGTAATTTCACCTACACATATACATGTATATAGTTAACTTCTAAATATTAAGTACACATATTTACATATTATGTAATAAAAATTTCTACATGCAGTTCGGGTCATGAATATTCATCATAATCCTTGAAATATTAAATTACATTTTTTTAGAAACACTTTGAATATGATGTGGCCAAAGAAAAACATTGAGTGACAGCTACAGGCACATTTTTGTCACCACAGAATACCATTAACATTGCTGTCTGAGGTTAAATGAGATCAAATAATCTAAGGTCAAAAAGTAAATTTCTTGTTTAAATTATTATCAACTCATTTTCAAATTATTTTTCTTAGTTCAATGCAATGATCATTTTTTGAAGCATGGCCCATGTCTTTAGAACACAAATAATATTTATATATCAAAGTGTGATATAAAACAGGGCAAACTTGTTTTCATTGTGAATGCTAACAGAAGGCTGTCAGTAACTTCTGGACTCTGATTGATACAAAAACCTCTGGCCATTAATCAGGTCTGCTGATGTCAACAAAGAGAAATTATTATGGGATTAAAATATACACAATTTACCTGCCTTGGAAAAAATAATTACAATAATCAATTCTTATTGAAATTTTATAATGTAATTTTGTGGGAGATATTTAATTTTTTGTTAAAATTTATTGGTTTCTATGCATGCTCATAACATTGAGGGGGGGGGGGGGTATTTGTCAATGTCCTTGAAGGGTGTTCTATTGAATACTCAAATTGTACAATGTAATAGCAACTGTATATTCTGATACATATTACAATACATGTATTGCCTTGAGATAATATTAGAACAAATTTAAAAATAAATTGAATATTTTAATATCTCATGATGAAAGAAAGCAATTATTATATTTAATTTATTTAAAACATATCTCAATGTTTTTAAGTTCGTCCCATACATACCACTCAATCAATTTTTTTTTCAATTATTTGTATTATTTGTGTTTCAAAGCATGTCAGAGATATGGCTCCAGAATTGTATTCATTAAAACAAAATGGCCACATTTTGAATCTTATCTGAAAAACAAAATGACGTGCATCAATGTCCCATAATGTCCAATGTATGTAACAAGTTTGAACAAAATCTATCTGTAAACAGCCGATAAATGCTTGATTTTGATGATTTTTCAGTTCAAAAAAGGTCGCCATTCGGCCATCATGAAACAGATCGTGAAACAAAAAAGGGTGCATAAGTACATGTATAATATTATGTATGATGTATGTGTGAAGTTTGAAAGTAACGGTCCAGGCATGTCTAAAATATAGGTCCAGACGCACACAAATGCAGGGATGCACGGCTGCACAGACACACAGAGGTCAATCCATAAGTCCCTGTTTGCTTCCAAACAGGGACTAAAAAGTTGACACTGACACCAATGGAATTACTCATATGATAAACTCTCATGGCAAAATCGTTAGCGGAGCTAATAAAGTTACAAATTTGAATTCATCTATTGATGCACATATTTTACTTTATTGCAATACATATCACTGGACTGAATTAATGATATTATCAAAAATTCATATAAGATTGGGTAAAAATCAGTCGTTTTTGGCCTCAACATTTTTTCACTTGGAAACGCAAGTGCAATAAGACTTAATTTTGAAAAACGCAGGTTGACAGAATCAACATTTTTTTTGTTTCAAGTTCATTGTGTGTCTAGAAACGTAACAAGGTTGTTTTTTGGTGAATCAAGAACATGCTCTACTCCAATAATCGATTTTGATGTGTCAATCGAAAAATTTCTTATTGGAACGTCTCCTTTATAAATAGTCCTTCACACCCCAAAATTTACTACACCCCAATATGTACTAGCCTAGAACGAACTTATTTACTAGGGGATCCTTGCATGAACTTACAGGGATAGGAAAAATGCATAACCAGGGATTGCGTTAACGCGGAATTACGCGTCTGGGAAGCATAGTTTTTCTGTGGGACGCATGAATTT